TCACCCGAAATTTATTCGGTTCGGGTCGATTAGCCGACTATAGACCAACCGATTTAAATCACTAGTATATATGTACGTTAAATGATAAAAGAGTAAGAAAATTAAAGGCAAATATCTTTTCTACACATGTAGAACTTTTCGTATTCAACTATGACATGTATTCATCAATTAATTCAATTGATATTGTTTTTATATAGGCTTACTGCATTTGTATTTAATGAATTTAGATTTCGCTCAAGTATCTTTATGATGTCAAAATATTTTAGCAGTTATAACGCAAAAATTTTAACAATATCTTATTTTTTAGATATTCGCTCACTTCAGCCAGTTTGTCTCAATGGAATACCAAAGAGGTTTTTTTTTAAAAAAAACGTCCTATGTTCGACATTATGAAATTCTCTAGTCACATGTATCAATGCTAAATATATTGTTTAATAAAGTTAAGAGCATTAAAATCAAATATCTGAGAATCTGTAAAAAAATATAGTAGTGATATCCGCCATCTTAGGTTTATATTGTAGATTTATTTTTTTATGACGATTCCTCTGTTGGAAATTTTAATTATTTTAATATGAAATTTTCAAAAAAATTTTGGGCCTTTTGTTAGGGGGCTTTTTTTAGGGTTAGGTCAGGGTTTAGTGGTAGTTTTAATGATAAAAGAGTATAAGTGGATTTTGGTAGGGTTTATATTCTTAAATCAAGGTCACTAATTCCAGCTTCAGCCGCGACAATTATTAACTTAATGAACAGGCTGTAACTTCATAACTATTTTGGATTTTTTGTTACAGTACACTAAAATACAAATATGCATGCGGATAGACGTGATAAATTTTTCAAATTTACGTTTTTGATATGAACCATATAAGTCAATCAATAAGCTAATTAAAACCGTTGTAACTTTTTTGTAACACTTTGATTAAACATAAATATCCTCCGCTAACGTCCGGACAATTAAAATATACATTTATTTAGTGCATGAATTTTTTTCTTTAAAAACAATGGACTCTGAACAACTTTATGAACTTGGTCTCAAATATGAAGATGGTATTGAAGTTACGAAAGACGAAAAGAAGGCTTTTGAATATTATTTGAAAGCAGCTGAGTTAGGAAATTCGGATGCGATGAATAGTGTTGGTATTTGTTATTATAAAGGAATTGGTGTAGAAATAAATTACCAGAAAGCATTTGAATATTATAAGAGATCTGCTGACTCAAATAATGTTTTTGCAATGTGCAATTTTGGTCGTTTTTATGAAAACGGGAGAGGAGTTGATCAAGATTTTAATAAAGCATTTGAATATTATATGAAAGCTGCTGAGTTAGGAAATTCGGATGCGATGAATAATGTTGCTATTTGTTATAAAAATGGGAGAGGAGTTGATCAAGATTTTAATAAAACATTTGAATATTATATGAAAGCTGCCGAGTTAGGAAATTCGAATGCGATGAATAATGTTGGTATTTGTTATGATAATGGGATAGGAGTTGATCAAAATTTTAATAAAGCATTTGAATATTATATGAAAGCTGCTGAGTTTGGAAATTCGGATGCGATGCATGCTGTTTGTATTTGTTATTTTTATGGAATCGGAGTAGAAATAAATTACAAGAAATCATTTGAATATTGTAAAAAGTCTGCTGATTTGGGTAATGCTGATGGAATGTGTAGTGTTGGTTTTCGTTATGAAAACGGGAGTGGAGTTGATCATGATTTTAATAAAGCATTCGAATACTATGAAAAATCTGCTAATATGGGTGTTAAAGAATCAATGTTTAATGTTGCTCGATTGCATCGAAACGGTATCTGCACAAAGAGAGATATTCAGAAAGCAAATTATTGGTTCGGAAAATGTAGAAGTCTTTTGGAAACTAATAAATCACCTGATAATATTAATCCTGAACTTAAGAAAATATTAGACGATGAGAGATTTAAATTATCTTGGATTGATTATAATGAGTTCACAATTAGACGGGAACTGGGAAGAGGGGGGTTCGCAACTGTATATGAGGCACTTTGGCTCGATAGAATTAATAATGCATGGGAATGTGTTGCACTTAAAGTGATTCATGATTCAAACAAAAATGAGCAAGAATTTATCCAGGAGTTGAAGAATTACTGTGAAATTGGTCACAAAAACCCTTCGTTCTTGAACTGTAATGGAGTATCAAGAAATGATCGTGGTGATTATATTATTGTTATGCAGCTTGCACCAAAAAATTCTTTACGACAAAATCTTGTACAAGTATCTAAATTGGAATGGAAAGATAAATTGAATATCTTGTATTGCATAGTTTTGGATCTTGAATCGATTCATTCGCAGGAACTCGTTCACAGAGATTTACACAGCGGAAATATTTTGCAAGATTATCTTAATAACGCATATATTACAGATCTTGGACTTTCTAAAAAGGTAAATGAAGGGAAAATTTGTGGAATTCTGCCATATATAGCACCCGAGGTTTTAATGGGCCAAGCATATACTCAAGCATCAGATACTTACAGTCTTGGAGTTATCATGACTGAAATTTCGACCGGACAAAGAGCATTTGATGGAATTCCGTTTAATGATGATCTGGTGTCAAGAATTATCGGTGGATCGAGACCTAAATATTTAGGACCCGATTGTTATATTAAATTAGCTACTAAATGTATGGATAAAGATTTTGATAAACGACCTACTGCAACTGAAATTATTGAAATAATCACTCGTTGGTTAAATGAAATAGATCAAGATGATAATGAAATCAAGAAACAATTTTTGGAAGCTGATAAGGTAAAACCAGAACTTACTAGACAAATACATTCAGAAGACGTGTATACTAGCATATCATATGATACGAAAAAGTTTTCAGAATATATTAGTAAACCGATGAGCATACTAGAAATCGGGAACAAATTTTCAAATTTAGATTTAAATTAAATTATATAAAATATGTGATTTATGTAACTTACACCTAGAAAGGTTCTTTTGTTCTCAAAATTTTTACAATAGTTAATCCATTTTATGTATTGCAGAGATAATATTTTCTTCTCACTTAACAAACTTTAGTTTACTATTTTTATTATTTGTGATTTTGTGGTTTATTTTAAAAAAAATCACTGTCTTGTTGTCTTTTATTTATTAACTTGATAAAATATAAATTTTGATTCTAAAAATGATCGAAGTTTACTAATTTACTAACCAATTTAACAAGCAAATTTGCATAAGGGTGACCTTTAAAAATAAAATATTGAAAGGCTAGCATTTAATTATAGACAAGACATGCCGAATTTATTTTAACAATTGCTAACCACACCAGTCAATCCTAAAACACTAGAATATTTAAAAATACGGTAAAAGGCGAAACCTAGAGGTTCGCGTTAGCAAAAGTCGAAACATGGTTTTGGCTATTGTCATAAAATTTGTAAAAAGGGGAAAAGAAAGGTATAAATGAATGTATTTACGAAAGACACCGAAGTGAAAGTAAATGTTGTTATCAAAATTCTATACCAAATTGAGTGTTCCAAGAGTTTTATTCTTTAATTAAATTTGAAGGCTCGCTATAAAAAACTAGCCAAATGATATTTGTTTATTTGGTTAGGATTCGTAATTGCGATTAAAATCGATTAAAAAGGTGAGTTTGAAAATGATAAGAAACATATGGAATTTGTGTAATTTGAATACATTTTGCTGCCGATAAAGTCTTAAAGTATTTTTCTTGCATAGCCAACAGAAAATTTCGGTATGTGATGATCAAAAAACCTTTGACTATTAGAATTAGTAATTACATTGGGTTAGATATGAATGATTTATATAGCGTGATTGCTTTTTTTTTTTTTTTTTTTTTTGTTTTGCGTGTTCAAAAAAAAAAAAAAAATGCGATTTCATAAGAAACTTAATTTTAGATTTTTATTTTATTTTATTATTTATTCTTTTTATTAAAACATTTTTATATTCTTGAGGCATATTTGCATAGTACAGTAGTAGTTCCTTAAGTTTTTCTGTCTTTCCTACTTTACTTCAAAAATAGTCAACTCTTATTCAGATTTATCTATCAACTTGTCAGGTCAAAAATTAATCTCTTCAGCTTGATTTTTAGTAAAAAGTAAGTAAAATTTGGACCCTAAAAAATTATGATCGGCATTTTGGTAATTTCAGTAATAAATTATCGTACATTATCGTTATGGAATTATCAAAACGCCGATCATAATTTTTTAGGGTCCAGATTTTTTCCCTCTCGATCAATGTATCACGTGAGTCAGTCTGTTTAAATAAGCGATACTGATTGGTTTAATTACATTATGATCAATCAGTTGCGACTACATATCATTTCATTCAGTATGTGAGTATAAAGAGCAACATTGATTTCTAAGAAAACAAGTTCACAAACAATAACATAAACACTTATTTACCATTGCGGCTTAATGCTACACATTGCCTATCGTGCGTCAGGTAAAAAATGATTCAATTAGATAGGGCTCAATAGTTATATTAATGCGAGGATTTCATTATTTCTTGATATACATATTAGATAAAAAGAGAGATAATAATGAATGATGGGATGAATATCGTTTTTTGAAAGTCTTTTTTGTGCGCCTTCATCAAATCGTCTATCTACGTACGTATGTGCTGTGCATACTACGTTGACTAATGGAAATTTTCGATCTATCGATTCTTATTTTTTGGCTTTATTACATAATTATGTATACTTTCCGAAAATTGTTTTCTGCCTTTAACAGAAAGGGCACAGGTTAGTTACATCATGGTCTTTGATATTTCTTTTTTTACTATTAAGATCTATATACTAATTCACATATGTTATTTGTGTTATAATTTTTTAATTTAATTTAATTTATTTTATAAACGTTATTTTGGTAAACTAATTTGTTGAAATGAAATCGAGTTTAATGAATCGGGGGGTTTTTTGATGCATGCAATATGTATACTACAAACGTAAAAAACGAAATAAAGAATGAAATGGTGTAAAATAGAAAATATAATAATAAAAAAGAAAGGAACCTACTTCACATTTTTATCAACGCTAATCAGTATCATTTTATTATTATTTAAATGATGCCATTAATGATTGATTGGTTCGATTTTTGGATTATTATTATCCGAGCATTTAACTTGGTACGTACATATTTTCGGGTTACCAACAAATATAGGCCGATTATTACAAATGTTCTTAATCTATTCGCAGTCATCAAGAATTTAAAATTTACTGCAGTGGTTACCTCTTCCGATACTTGTAAAACAAGGACTACCTCTAATTATACCACAGCAATTACATCATATTCGATGCCTGTATAAAAGCGTAAACTAAACGATAATCAATAATAAAGTATTAAAATTTTTATTGTTTTAATAAATCAGCAACGTTGACCAAATGTGTCAAAACAAACAATGCTTTCATCTCATGTATTATATAAAGTTTTATTTTTTATTTTTTTATTATACTGAATCATGATGAAATGCAAATCAAAGGAATTAAAATTGTAAAGAATACAAAAAAGGTATAAGCAAATTTATTAATAACATGAAAGCTCAATGATCATTTAAAATAATTTTAAAAGTACATAACAAATGATGATGATTTTGAAATTATAAACATGTATCAGAAAAAAAAAACAAAATAATGACATTAGTATAGAACGTATCGAACGTTAAACAATAAGTGATTCACACCCAATTTTTTTTTTTTATGAATTGTGAATATGTGAAATTGAATATATACAGCATATGAAATACTTTATAAAATTCAAAATTTAGTACGTACGTACGTACGTACTTAACGTATATGCATAATAAATTCATATAGAATTATAATAAGAACAATAATATCAATATTAATAAATGTTCAAACGTACTTCAATTCATTTGAATTATTTATAATAAAATCATTTAAATTTCCATCAACAGGCATTTTCAAAGCAGCAACGACTTCTGCCATAGGATCTATTTTATTTTGTGATGAAATTGATGATGTGACGGTAACTTGTTCTTGTGATACTGGTATGGTTGGTGACGTTTGTTTTCTCTTTTTTAAAAAACAAAAAGAAATTTTTTTTTTAATACAATATAATTCAATAAATTCATAATCTTAACTCATGATCCTTTTTATTTACCTTGACATGAAACTGTGATGAAGAATTTGAAGTAGGAGAATTTGATGTAAAAGAAGACGAATCTAGATCTTGTTTCGATATTGGTATTTGATGAGTTTGAGTATCAATAGATTCTGATATTGGATTAATTTCTAAACGTAAAGCTGCAGCAACTTCAGCCATTTGAGATTTAACTTTTTCAGGCTAAATAACGATAACGATAAAATTGATATAGTTGATGAGAAAAAATTGAAACTAAAATAATTTAATAATTGGTTTACAGAAAAAACAGATAAAAAATTTACATCAACTTTTCCACTACGCAGTTCAGAAATACCGATATGTCCAGTATGCTATTTAAGTAATATAAGTAATTTATTGTGTGTTAAAAAAAAAAAGAACGCATTAATTATGTTTATTAAATTGAATCGTTACCTGAAAGTTTGAAGGAAGTCCAATAAGACCTTTATGAACTTTCTTTCGTTTAAAGGTTTTAGATTTTCTTGTGTTATTATTATCGTTATCATGAAAGAAATTTGATTTTTTTTTTGAAATTGGGTTTAATGATTGTGAACCAATGCCAATATCTTTCGGTCTTTGGTTTGGAGAGGAAACGCAATTACCCATTTTTAATTATTGTTAGTTCTGTACGTATTTGATCAAAAGGTTTTTTTTTTTCTTAGCTAAACGTTATATTATGATAATAAAATTTTTTTTATTTTAAAGGTTTAATTTTTTTTAAATGTCTTAATTTTCTTTTTTAATGTCTGTTTTAATATATATATATACTTTTTCTGTCGCTATACAGTTTTAAGTTGCCTCGTTAAAAAAAAAAAAAAAAAAAATGAGACAACAGTTTTTTTATCATTTAATTCCTTAGTTAAAAGGAGAATCTTTTGCACAGCGATTTGTTTCACTAATATATTTATATTATTTATCAAATACGTACGAACATATCGATAATTATTCGTTAAATTATTTATAGATCATGAACATTTATTAAACTCCAAAAGACTCAAACTTCTTTGTTTTTTTTTTATTAAGGTCATACATAAAACTGTTCGAATCACTTGTCGTATCACATAAATAATAAATTCGGAATCACATGAATTATATATAATACTTTTTCTGGTATGAATGAATGTACAATACGTCAATAATGCTTTTAATAATGCGTTAAATACATTAGTATAAATATATATATATATAATTTTACTAATCATCATTTTAAAATTTGACAAAATTATTAAAATTATGCATGTACTGCGCATTGTACGTACATATCAGTTTCAGAGTACATTTTAAGTTGGAAGAAATATAAATCAAAAATTAATAAAAAAAAAAATTACCGTTTTTTTTCATTCATTGTATATTGTATTATTATTAAATCGCATACAATTACCAGACTCTTTTTTATTCAAATATATACGTACGTATAAATGCTGATTCGTTTTAAGCTCAACAAAAAAGATTAAAGTAGCTAGTAAGGCATGCAAAGAATTTTTTTAATATTCGAAACATACAAATAAAACACGAGTAATAAAAAAGTGCTATTGTTTATGCTATTGTTTGATATACGTTCGATCTTTTATCTTTTGTTAAGAGGATTTGTCCCAAAAATAGTATTTACAATCCTTTTTTTTTGTATGCATCAGGTACGTTTAAGTTCGTTAGTTTGAAATAAAACAAAACATTTTATTACAGTTGTTAGTGTTTGTTATCATTGATGAATGTATTTTTAGTAAAAGAATTTTTTGTTTTTTTTTTTACATGTGTTTTAAACGGTGATTTATGATAAGCAGTTTTAAACAGTATCAATGGTGAAAATAATTATAAAAGAGATTTTATACGTAAAAAAGAAATATTACCATTGTTAAAAGATTTTTAGTTGTTATGTACGTACCATTTTTTCCGAAATTGACGTATATGTTATCATTGTCACAAAAGAAAAAAAAAAAAAAAAAAAAGAAAAAATTCTTTGTTGTACCTGCCCAAGCGAAGAAATTAATTCTAAATCAGTATAACAAAAAATCGCCTTGAAATTTTATTAGTCACTATTAGGAAATCCTTTGTATGTATGTACAACGTATGTACTGTATGTACTGTACGTACTTACGTACATACGTGCCAATACAGTATCAGGTATAACGTTTCAAACAATTCAGACAATTGGCCAAAATATGGCAAAGAAAGGAATTAGAAACAAAGAAGTTTATGTTGTGTAATTTACCAAATTTTAATACTTTGATACTTTGATAGAGATCGGCCTTTTGTCTGACCATTATTTATCCACGAGAATTACGTAAGATAGATCAAACACGGACGAAGAAAAAAAATTAAAATTTCTTACATTACAGATTTTTGATTAGTTTCAAAAAATCGTGCGATGTCTATTTCGACAACTTTTATCTGTTAAACTATCTGTTATGTGTTGAACGTACGTACGTACGTAAGTAGCATCGGAGATTAAAGTTTGGTCAGAAATTAATTCGTACGTATCTACGTACTGTATTTGCATCACTCTATCATCTATTGTATAGTGCCATGTATTTCACACTTTAATTACTTTAATTACTGCGAATTTATAAATTATTTAGTGATACAAGAAAATAAAAGTGTTTTAATTCATTCGCATGATAAAGTTTAAGTACAGTACTATAACGCTTCAATGTCTATGTATGAATTTTAAATTCATATATATATGTATCTTTTATTATTATTATTATTAAAATTTTTTTGTTTTTTTTTAATATTATTACGCACACACCTACTATATGTCAACGTACAGTATGCGCAATACGTAGTGCTTTCATGAATTTTATTAAAATGACTTAGAAAAATGCAAAAGTAAAAAAAAAAAAATGATTCAAAAAATTTTTGTGTTGTTTTCATATGGTAAAAATGCAAAAGAAAAAAAAAACTATATATATGTAGAATATGTAGAAATACATAATTTTCTACTAAACTTATAAAGAGAATAAAGAAAAAAAAAAGATTGAATGATATATATAACATAATATGTATATATTAATATATAGCATAATAATACGTATATATTATTATATCGTCTATATTCAAAAAAAAAAAAAAAAAACAATATTTTTAAAAAACAATTTCGGAAATATATTCTTGGGGCCCTTTGGATTTACCATCTTGATATAAATTTTCATCATTTTCTATCAACGATCTTGTACCAACCATTAAATTATTTTCAATTTTTTTCCATAACTCATTTCTTAATTTACGTCCTGTGACTCTTCGTGCCAAATTAATCCAGCTTGGCACTGTAAGATCTTTCATATGATAATCATCCCAAGTTGTATACTCAACTGTGTATACTGGTTCACTATTTGGGAATAAGTTGCTATGAGTAAGATTTATGAAATATTGTGTGTATCCTAATGGAGTAAGGAAAGTATTTATGTGGGAAGGTGCGTTAGGATCATGACTTTTTGGTGGTTTATTCTTTTTTGAACTATCAACTTTTTCGTCATCATCATCATCATCATCATCATCATCGTCATAGACATATTCGGACTTTGAATGTTCAACTTCAGTCGTATTATATTTAAAGATTCTTAATGCTGGATTAAATACGGGAATTACGGATGGATTTATATGAATGACAGCATATTCTTTACCGACACCTTTAGTAAGTGGTGGAACTGATCGATAATGATTATAAAGTTTTTTCAAATATTTGTCAATTTTAGCAGATGGCGTTTTCATAGCCGTTTTTACAAAATTGTCATCATCGTAATTTTCTCCTGTAGAATCTTCTGGATAATCTTCTGGATAATTCTCTGGATAATTTTCTGGATAATCTTCCATAGAATCTTCAATATAATAATCTGGATAATCATCATCAAAATCATCGTTTTCATCAGTTACATTCCGAAATTTGCTCAAGCTCTTCTTAGCTCCAATAAAGAAGAAATGATCCATGTTTGAATGACCATAATAATGTCCTAATATAAGGTCATGATATTTTATTGAAAGTTTTTGATATGCTTTATAACAAGTTCTCGTATATTGTTTTTTTCTTGGAGCAACATGACCAGTTAAATAAACTTTCATTCCAGTTTTTCTTGCTTTCCTTAATAAATTTCTTAACCAATTTATTTCAGCTGTTCCTGGTTGTTCAGGTGATTTACATCCATTAACTGCTGTATTGGTATTATAAAAGTACATCGTATTTAATGATACGACTATAAGTTTTTTAGGAATTACTTCGGTATAAAAGTATCCTCCTTCAAGGAATGTTTTACGTTGACTTTCAGGTATAAAAGGCTCCCAAATAGAATAAAGTGTTGAAAGAATATCATTTGGTCCAGGTAAAAGAATATTATTTGGATGAATATCATTATTTCCTATTGAAGGAACGATAGGTATAAATTTTGGCTTATTTTTTCTTGGTAGACCTTTAGTATTGGTAAATGTTTCGAGGAATTTGGTTGCAATCATTCTATTTAGTTCAAAGACTTCTTTAGCACTTCGTGGTATGTTATCATCGTTATCATGCCTATTACAAAATATTAAAAAATATTAAAAAAATATTAAAAAAAAATTAAAAAACGTTAATAAATAATTAAATAAATAAATAAATAATTCATGATTTTTTTTAAAAATATAAAAAATTTTTAAAACAAACCTAGAGTTGTCACCTGTCCATATAATAAAGTCTAATTTATCTTTCCAATTGGTTTCTAACCAGTTAAACGTTGCATCCAGCAAACTCATAGGAGTATCGCATTTAGTAGCTGAAGTACCCCAAGCTCCAGAAAGTTCTTGAGATTTTTTCTTTCTTTTTTTTGGATGACCTCCGTGACATCTTGACCTAACGGTAGAATTTGCTACATAATGAGGGTCTGGATGAATATCAGTGATGTGAAGAAAATTTCCATGTAGTGATTTTTTTTTTGATGTGTCTAGGTAAGGATCATTTATTGTCTCGAAAGTAAAATATAAGAAAAAAATCAAGACCAAAGCGGGTATTATAAGCGATACACACTCTCTGGGAGTTATCATTATTAATAATTATAACAGTTCAACGGTTATAAATATCATAAATATCAGCTACAATTATAATGACAACTATCTTTTTTTTTTTAATTAATTAATTAACGATATTGACATCAACTTTTGAATAACAACTTTTGAATAACAATCTGAACAATGAAAAAAAAGCGATTGTAACGAAAATTTACCTTTTTATTGGGTTAAAAAAAACGCTTTTAAAAGATTTCGGAGTAATCAGATCAACAGTATTCTATAACACTTAATCCATATAAGGTCACAACCTGTCAATTATTTCAAATTTCATAAAGCATACGTAATCAAAATAAAAAATTCTTTTTTTTTCTATTGTAATGTTTTATAAATAATATAATAATCGGATTTTGGTTTCAAAAAAAAAGAATTTTTATTTATGTGGCGTTAAGTTTACATTGTATTTTTAATTGAGATTACGAAATACCGTAGTTCGGAATAGTCCATTTTGATTTTTAAATTATCTATTTATAGTATTGCTTGTCATTCAATTGGACAGCCACATAAAAAAAAACGTGCTACATGCATTTCATTGTTATACTACAACCGGTTGGTCGCGTGCCTTTCCTTTTATGATCTCGTGTTACTAATAAATAAAATTTTATTGGTAAAAAAATTTTTTTATCTTTCATTTATTTATTATTATTAATTATTGACTTCGGCTTATTCCATATCTGTGATATTCATGAATTTTCATCATTGGTAGTATATCATATACAATCTTATACAATCTTACACATAATACGTAATTGATTCCTTAAATAGGTTGAATTTGTCCAAAATTGTTCCTTTTTTTCTATCTGTTTCGAGGAATTAATCATTTAGGTCTTTCATATTTTTCCTTGGAAGATTCTATATTATCCCCGCACTGTCCTTATAAATCTCTCACGAGACCTTTTACAAAACCTTTATTAGTCTTATTCTCTTTCTCTTTATGCGTAGCTTCTGCAGTCTCTTTAGTTGTGTAACTCGTACAATGTTTCTAACGTGCATATAATAGCTTCTAAGAATTTCTTCCCTAATAATTCTAATTGTCTCTTTAATTTTTTTTAAAGGTAACAATTGATAATTACATAACTGATAAATACACTCATCACATATTTTCTGCATACGTACGTATCAGGTATTTATGTCGTGCCTCACCTCAGGGGTATAGTTAGGAGTATAATTAGGGGTATAATTAGGGGTATAATTTAGGCCAATCAATGTCGATCAGTAATGCCGGCCAAAAATCGAACAAGTTGCATAGTACTATACAATACGTAATGCGTAATGCAACGTTAACTGTTAACTGTTAAAGTAATGTCCATGCGTACATACAGACATACGTATGTATGTATGGCATATATATATCAGATATCAGATATACAAAGCCAACGATTCAAAGCTTTTCATGGGGTGCCATGAATATATCAAACGTAAAATAAATGATATATGTTACAGTATTACATATAAAATTTACCCGCCAAAAGTACCCAGGTATTTTTTCCCCTTGCTCGTTTTAGTGCCCAGGACACTCGTGTGAATATGTACCATTGTTACATATCTGGGTACGTACGTACGTAAATATGAAATTATTATGCTTAATTATATACTCGGGTATGAATCAAGAATTGGTCTCTAAAAAATTTTTGCAGGGTACAACGCACGGATTTCGTGGCTGGTAAGATATGGTACAATGTAAAATAACCGGAAAATATTTGTCATGAGCGTAAATGACTTTTTGATACTGTATCTAATCTTTTATTATCATTTTATAAAGTAAAGATTAACAAAATATTATTAATATAATCCAGTTTTTAACCAAGATAATCTTTTGAACCAGATATTTAATTTTAGATAAATTTACGTAAACTATTATCCCTGTTTATCCTAAAAAAGTAAATAATTTAATAAAAATAATTTAAACATTCATTTTATTTAATTCTGGTTATGCCCCTTTTTTATCGAAATGATATCATTTTGCATATGCAAAAGAAAATTCTTGAAAATCTTTTGAATATCTAACGATATTCAGAAAAAAATTCTAATCTAGGAGTACAGTCAGAGATCTAGATTTCCAATAATTTTATACGTAGTTAAATAGTGTGAGAGATGAACGTGATTGCTTGTTTTTTGTTGGTCGTATATAAATGTATAATGAAATATACATAATTGATTTTTTTTTTATTATAATCAAACATTTACATAACGCAATTTTATCGTAATTTTTTCAATTAATCAAAAATGAAAAAATGATTGGAAAATTTAGCATATGATTACTGTTGCACATGAAAGTGGAAATCATTATTAGTTTTTAAAATATTTAATTTCAAGCAATAAATAATAAACGTGCAGAAAATTATAAATTACATCTATATATGTTATACTAAATTAAAAAAATTTACTAAATTTAGAAATATTACCTTCTTATCAAAAACTCATTAAGTTAATGATGAGTTAGTAAAGAAAATCATGTGAATAAATTACTATATAAAATCGTTTAACAAAAAGTAAATTTTACCTTTTCTAGAAAATTTTGTAACGCGCATGATTATGTCGATGATTATGTCGATGGATTTCCGTGAATTTCAGTACTCCATGTGACTCGTTGCACCCGGGTGGTGTAAAGTATTTAGAAAAATATTATGTATATCTTTTAATATATCTTTAGGGGGAAAATCAAATTTTAATTAAAAAAAAAACTGTACGTGCATTGCGTCTTACCGCTTTGTGGTTAAGTTGTGGCTGCCCTAACGTTACCACCTGAAACAATTTCGTTGGCCAATTAAATTTCAAGGTAAAATGTAACAAAAAAAAAAGAACGGAAAAATTCAAAATGATTTCAAGAAACAGTTCATAACTCGTCATTTTACCTATGAAGCTTCCTTCTGCGCACTAATTAAAAAGATTTCCTTGCAAATTTTTAGTAATATAAAAAATTAATCTAACCTAACCTAATAGCAAAAGTTAACCCTAATCTGACAGCGAACTTTTTTAAAGAAATTCTCAGATTGGTGACGCTAGGGTTCTAAACCTCGTACGTATATGTACTAGGCTAGTGAAATCATTACAATTGTAGATTTTCATGTTGCGTAAACAAATGGTGATCGTTACAACTTAACATTTATATGTTTATTAAAATCGATCAATTTAAGTTATTAACTCAATATGGAGTTTTTACATTTGGTATGAAATGTTATGTTCAATTAAGTATATATAAAAAACTTGCAAGAACTTTCAAGAGTTTTCATTCAAAATTAGTTAGAAAAAATAATTATAATATTCAGATAAATCTTTTAGAATTTTGTTCTTTTTTTAGGCCAGGCTAACTTAATCCGGTAGCTTAGATTACTCCTTTCCTCCTCCTTTGACCCTTTCTCTCTATATATTTTGGAAAATTCTATATAATATTTATGTTATTTCGGAAAAAATGTTTCTTCGAAAAAAATTTTTCCGTCTCTCCCCCTATATTTTGTAAACCATTGAATTAAGTTGGTCTTACCTTAAAATAAACAATATACTAGAAAAACGGCGACGTTTTGTGGGCTGGAGCTCTAATTCTTAGGTCTTGTACTTTAAAATAAATTTAAAATA